AGATCCTCAAAAGTCATCTCAGGGTTCTCCGCTATCATGATGAAGGCGTACGCCTGAGCTGGGCGTCCAGAGGCGTTTCTGAAACCCTTACGGACTCCGTTCATCCAATCGGCGACTCCTGTGATCTTAGGGAAGCCTGGGACCCGAACACGGTCACTTTCTTTGACTGTGGCAGGAAGTAGTGACCCGCCAGCATTATACGGGGATTGCGCAACGTTGGAGCCGAGTGTACCTATATTAATGGGAGAGTGTGTTCGAAAGCTAGCATTGTCTGCAGCTGTCTCAGGGGCAGAAGGCTGGGCTGCGGTTCCCCGCTGCTCGTCAGCACCAGTTCCTGCCTGAGGAAGTGTCGGCTTGGAAGCGGCCCCAGTAGAACCCCCCGCATCGCGAGCAGCGGCGTCAGGGGAGGGGCGGCGATAGCCGGTATCAGGTGTATGTTTGGCTGCGTCCGCGATGTGATCTTGTATTGTTTGCTCAAGCGTGGTGTTGTCTGCTTGCAGTTTTGCGACACAATCAGACAATACTTCCCATTCAGCGTGTTGATGTTTCTGAGTGTCTGTGAGGAATCGAACGTCATCCTTATTGTGGGTAGTAAGATTGACAATTAGAGTACGCAGGTCAACATTCTCGTTAGCAAGACGAGCCATCTCAGCGTTCATTTGATCCAGGCGCGCATTCGCGCGTGCTGACTCGGCATCCCTCTCGGCCACAGAATCCTGCAGCTGCCTTTGCAAGTGGGCCACCTCCGCTCGGACGGTCTGTAGAACAGCTGCCGTCACGTCGGGGTTGGTCACCGTAGCAGTGGGACTCACCTGCGCAGTATGAGCCCGTGCGACCTGCAGCTCAGCTACGGTCTGCTCGAGAGTGTGGACTCTGGATAGAAGCTGTGGTACATGTTGAACCTGACAGGAAGAGAGTTGAGCTTGGAAAGCGTTCTCGGCCTCACATAACTTGCCATACAAATCTTGCTGAACGGAGCGTGTATAATCGTGCAGCTCACGTGCTGCAGCTTCCGTTTCACCACGGATCGTGGCAATATGACCTTGTAGTGCGGTGGAAGGCGCTCCGAAGGCACCTGAAGCTGTGCCCGCGACTTCTCGCAGCTCTTCGCGAAGAATGCGTGCACGTTCATCGTTGTGTTGACGAATCTGAATGACGCTAGCTTCAAGTCGATCGAAGTCGGACTTGACGGCCACAAGTTCGTTAGTCTCGCGATCTCGTTGTGTATCGAGACGCTGCATCAGCTGTTGCATGATCCGACGGTCCTCTTGGACGGCAGCGTCCAGGATCGAAAGACCCTGTTGGAGGTCACTCCGGAGGACGGCGGTATCAGAGGCCACAGCCTTGTGGACGAGGCTAGTTTGATATTCAACGTATGTGTGCACGTGATCTCGTAGCTCAGCCATGTCTTGCATTGGCAGAGCCTCCCTATGTCGGTTTGCGGCTGGGGAACTATGGGGCCTAATACGAACCCCCCGGACAGATGGACTCCTACTGCCGCGATCGTCTCGAATAATGTACTGTTCGGGGCCACGCCTGGGAGCTTGGCTCTTAGAATGAGCACGGCGACTAGGGCCATGGTCAGAAGTACGGTTTTCGAATTCACGGACTCGCTCATAAACCTGTCCCTGTTCAATCCCTGTTTGTTCGGGCGTCCCATGGCCCCACCTTCGTGTGCCTGTGCCTCTCTCTCTCGGAGGGGAGGAAGGTGTAGGCATGTGTGGAGCTGCGGTATCCCGCTGCACTGTCTGGGACGGTGCTGCGGTGGCCCGCTGCGCTGTTTGTGGCGGGGCTGCGGTTTCCCGCCGCGCTGACTGGTGCAGTGCTGCGGGAGGGACGTCAGATGTGGTATGAAGGGTGGGGAATTGAGGCGTGAGCCCTGGAGCGGCGTGTAAGAATCGCTGCTGTAGGGGGGTCTGATCTCCAATAGGAAGTGGGGGTGCGGAAACGCTATGAGCATGCAAGGCACGAAGCTGTTGCAACTCAGCTTGCATAGCGTGGAGCTGAAGTGCCGCCTGGGTGGGCAACGCTGGCATTGCTGCGGTTTCCCGCTGCATTGACTGCGCTGCACTGGGTGGGGGCATAGCTTCGTCCAATCCGTCGGTTCCTGGAGAGATGGCCATGCGGGCCGCAAAATTGGGGGAAGCTCCTAGAATATCGGACATATCAGCATCCAAGTTGCGCGCGACTGACGGCGACGACTCATCATGCGGGAGGACGGACGACTGGTGTCGTGCCGTCATCTCGCATAACTAGTCCGATGTCGTCAGGTCGGGGCGCAGGTTGGACGCGATGTCGGATATAAAAGAGAAGGCTGATAACCTGTGTGAGGGTGAGGAGGACCAATGGACCGACCCCACCCCCGAGTGTCCGTCGGTAGACGGTGAGGGACGATGGTTTTACCCAACGTACCTCCAAGTGTCGAGTACCTGTCATCCGAGCCAAGAGGGGCGATGGATATGAGCAAGATAGGAGGAAAGTAGGGGGATTCACACACATGACTGGGCGTCGCGAGCCCGCGGCCACGACCCTTCAGAGGAAAACAGCGGGCTCGCGTTCCTGGGGTAAGGTCGGGCGTGTCCCCCTGCAGGCGGATCTTGGACGAAAGACAAAACCATCGCAACACAAACATGATAGAGAAATCGTCCCCTGAACATGTTCGACTGTTTTCGTAGATCTCTCCTGCAGGGGGACGTGCCCGATTTCATCCTGGGGCCACGCGAGCTCTCGCTCGCCATCGCTCGGACGTCCATTCCCTGTGTTTTTTTCGGTTTCGTGCCTGGTTTTTTCGCCACATGATCAAGGATGCTCCTCGATGGTCCTCGCCGGAGGAAAAATTCACACGTCCGAGCGATGCCGAGCTCGTGCAGGAGCCATGGGTTACCGCGCTCCCAGGGCCCCGCTCCCCTTGTGACAGAGCGACAGGCCCGCGCTCCGAGGCGGCCGCTGGCCACCCAGCCAGAAAACCTGCAGGCCACCACTCCTCCTCCTCCTCCTCCTCCTCCTCCTCCTCCTCCTCCTCCTCCCTCCTCCTCCTTCCTCCTCCTCCTCTCTCCTCCTCCTCCCTCCTCCTCCTCCTCCTCCTCCTCCTCCTCCTCCTCCTCCTCCTCCTCCTCCTCATCTCCTCTTCCTCCTCCTCCTCCTCCTCCTCCTCCTCCTCCTCCCACTCCTCCTCCGCCTCCTCCTCCTCCTCCTCCTGCTCATCCCACTCCTGCTCCTGCTCCTCCTCCTTCTATTCCTCCCAATTCTGACTGGCCAGTCGGCCTGGCAACCGCCCATCCAGAGATCGAACGAACTTAGCTGCCCCGACACGCAACACGCAAGCCGCAGCGTGTTGACACGGAGCTCAACACGTAGACTGAAAACGCAGGTCTCGCGCGATACGTTCGCCAAAACGCGGGCCAACACGTTGAACCAACACGCAACGTCTTGACACGTAAGTTTTGAGCACAGTACGTGTTGCGTATCGAAACGGGCGTATCAAGGCAGCTCAGCGAACGAACCATCCGAGTTGCCAGCCTGCCGCCAACAAAGGAGCCAATCCACCAACCAATCCAGTCGACCCAGCCATGGAGGCAGTCCGAGGGGATGGGCGGGGGCGGCAGAGGGAGAAGCCCCTCAGATTAAGCACCCCGTCCATCCCGTGCCCCGTTCCCTCCCCCCCAGCACATCCGAACTACGTGATCACCGCGCCTCCACTCAGTTCGGACTCCATACGCACCGCTGCACAGTTTCAGTTCTCGGCGAAGTTGCGGAGCACTCCGCATGCAGTGTTGCACGACGTTCTCTGCACACTGCCACATCACAGTGCATCATCGCATGAACGCTTCGCTGCGCACACCTTGGAACATCACACCGTCACGTGCAACATTAGGGGAAACAGAAAGTGGCATAAACATAAAGACTCGGAGGTCCGCGCGGATTTCTCGGATCGGCGCTGGGCCCCCCCGGCGGCGCCTCCGGCGCCGCCCCTGGCGCGCTCCGCGCGCCAGGGAGGGGGGTCCAGCGCCGATCCGAGAAATCCGCGCGGACCTCCGAGTTTTTATGTTTATGCCACTTTTTGTTCCCCTAAACATGGTCCCATCGGGAACCCATAGTGAGCTGGTCCTGTCCCAGCACGCGTTCACCAATTGTCACGCTTCGCGGGGAGGGGCAGCAGATCCCGCTTTTGGGGGAGGGGGTCCACGCCTCCAGTCCCCACCCACAAGTTACCGCCATAGGGGGAGCTGGAGAGGAAGCTTGTGTAGGGGCACAAAAAGTGGCATAAACATAAAAACTCTGAGATCCGCGCGGATTTCTCGGATCTGGCAAACGATGTGGTTTAACGCATGCTGTACGCCACTGTTTAGCACAACCTGCATCCACGGGTACAAGTAAGACAATGTGCCCACAGGAGGCCTGAGCGCATGCTTGAGCAAGATGTTGAGCGAATGCAGATGCGAATTTGCAGGGGACCGGAACGCGGTGCCAAACTGCTGGAATTTGCCCGTGAAGCGCTGGGCCAAAGCCAGAGGGAAGGTCTCCAAATGATCGGCGCAAGCGCATGGTTTGGCGAACGAAATTTGTTTAGCGCGTGGTATGTTTGTATGTGTGCGTGTGTGCCAACGCTCAGAGCCACCCGCGCATCTATCTGTTGCGTGTTGTAATCATGTTTCAGATTTGTGTGTTTTTGTTGCCGGGCCGGAGCTCCTGGGTTCCAAGGGACAGGCCCAAAGGAAGCGAGGCCGTCTCAGCGCCCAGGGACCACCTCGTCGCCCAACTGGTGCATGCGCCGAGCTGGCCCTGGCTCGTCCCTCCCTCCTCCATTCCCCCCCTCCCTCCCTCGCTCCCTCCCTCCTCCGTCGCTCCTTCGCTTACTGGCTCCCACGCTTCCTGGCTGCCTCATCACTCCCTTCCCCCTTCTTCCTGCTCCCTCCCCCCTCGCTCCATCTACGCCCTCCTTCTGGACTCCCTCTCGCCTCTGGACTCCCCGCTTGCTCCCCACCCGATTTCCCCGCTGCCTGGCAGTAGGCCTTGTCCAAATGCTCCGTCAGCTTGCCGATCAGGAGGCTGTAGTCGGGCTTTGGCAGCTCCACCCCGGGGAAAAGGTCGCGGCAGATCCCGGTGTAGAGGGGCACGTCGAAGTCCAAAAACTTCGCCAGATTCACGTCGTTGATGGACTGCAGCATCAAGATGCTTTCGTTCTCGGTAGGCTCCTTGCGCTTCAGGCTGCCCGCGCGCACGAGCACCGCGAAGACTGCCCTCATGCCGTAGTCGTAGTGCTGCTGCGAGGACAGCTGCTCCGAGCAGAGCGTGTACGTGGTGACAATCTTCTGCGAGAGAGACCGTGCGTCCTCGTAGCCGTAAGAGTAGAGCTTGATCTCTGCGATCTGACCATAGTCTGGAACCTAGAGGAAAGAGAACTATGCACATACACCGACTCTGGCCAGGCCCATCCTGAGCCCAGGATCGGTGCATACGCCCTCTTACCTTGGCCAGGAAGGTATATGCACCGATCCTGAGTCAAGGATGGACTTTGTCAGGATCGGTGCATGTGCATAGTTCTCTTCGCCCGAGAACCATCATGGCCACCGTGCGGAACAGCGCCTTGAGGTTGTCGGGCAGCTCGGCGCGACCAGCGTAGCCAGGGTTCATCGTGATGAAGCAGTTGCACGTCCAGAGGATCGGCAGCGTCGTGCCCTCGAACTCGAACGTGGTCCTACGCTCGCGGATCGCAGCCTGTATGGTGAGGATCTGCTGCGCGATCACGCTCAGCACCTCGGCGTCGATGCGGTTAAACTCGTCGAAGCATGCCCAGCCGCCAGACGCCGCGAGTCCCTTGAAGAACTTCGCCATCGCTAAGTAGTCGAGCTCGTCGGAACAGTTAAAGACAACGCAGAAGCGCGCGAGAGCCTTCGACAAATCCTTCACCGTCTCTGTCTTTCCAGTGCCGGCTGGGCCTTCTGGTGCGGCGCCGTAGAGGAGGTGCAAGGCTCCGCAGCAGGTGCGGTAGCAACGGTCCGTGAGTGGCGTGACGATCAGGCGCGAGGAGTTGCCTCGCGTAGGAGGACGCCGGCTACGCTACTTTACCTACCGCAAAATCGTTCCTTGCTGACGTGGGCACTGATTCTGGACACCGTTCGGATCGTTCAGCATTAAACGAGCTCCATTCTTACATGTTCGGGGAGGCTCACATCCTGCGACTGGGTTTCGCTCCGCGTGTCTTATCATGTGGGTCCTGGCGCCCGCTAAAGGCCCCCAGAGGACGTTCAACCTGGGACGATAGATAATTAGCCTGGCGAAGATCCCAACCATGTGCAGTTGTGAGAACAACAATTGTGGGTACCGTCTTCTGTGGAACTCCCCGTGGGGCCACGAAACGCTGTACTGGGCGGGGGGCCCGCATGCGAATTGCGCCACTGGGACCTTCCGTGCAGCCCCCTCTGGGGCCACAAAACAATGTAATGGACGGGGGAACCGCATGCGAACTGCGCCACTAAGACCTTCGGTGGAACTCCCTCTGGGGCCACGAAACGCTGAACTGGGCGCGGGAAACGCCTGCGAACTGCGCCACTGGGACCTTCGATGGAGCTCCCACTGGGGCCACGAAACGCTGCACTGGACGGGAGAACCGGATGCGAACTGCGCCACTGGAATCGTCAATGGAACTCCCTCTGGGGCCACGAAACGCTGCACTGGGCGGGGGAACCGCATGCGAACTGCGTCACTGGGACCTTCGGTGGAGCTCCCTTTGGGGCCACGAAACGCTGTACTGGGTTGGGGAACCGCATGCGAACTGCGCCAGTGGAACCGCCAGTGGAGCTCCCTCTGGGGCCACGAAGCGCTGTACTGGGCGGAGGAACCGCATGCGAACTGCGCCTCTGGAAGCTTCGGTGGAGCTCCCCCTGGGGCGACGAAACGCTGCAATGGGCGCGGGAAAGAAACTGCGCCACTGGGACCTTCTTTGGAGCTCCCTCTGAAGCAACCAAACGCTGTACTGGGCGGGGGAACCGCATGCGATCTGCGAAACTGAAGCCGTCGGTGGAGCTCCCTCTGGGGCCACGGGATGATGCACTGGGCGGGGGAGACGCATGCGAACTGCGGAGGAGGAAGGAGGGGGAGGAGGAGAGGAGAGGAGGAAGAGGAGGAAGAGGAGGAGGAGGAGGAGGAGGATGAGAAGAACGAACGCGGGGCGCTCTCTCTTCACAACGAAGACCCAACATCACAGGATAGTTGGGGAAAAAGCAACAACGGAATCATGGCCGGGGACCCACACGATTGGGCCAATAGAAAACCTCCCCGTAGCTGCCCTCCTCAATGTCTCGCGACCTCGTATGTATCCTGAAGCGGGGCCGGGTATAAACCCGACAACGACAGTTGACATACGTTTCTCCTGTCGCCCGATGAACTTATGAGCTGCACGGAAACGAATAGGCGTAGAATCAACGTGAAGAGGATGTGGACAGAGCCAGGAATGGTCGAAACCGTCGGGGCACCAGATCATCTTGGAGGGAGGGCCCAAAGAGCCGAAGCGGGGCGGGCCTAATCCAAGAAGCAGGGAGCGGCCTCCAAGAAAGGATTCGAATCGTCTGCTGCTTCAAGAAGTGCGGTAGAGTGGAGCAGCGGGCCTAGACGTCACGACTGTGTAATGTGCCTGTAAGCGCTTCCGATCTGGCCAGAGTACACGTAGGGCCGTGCAATATTAGTTCGAACAACTTCGAGCACCCACATCGTGAGCACGCTGGCCCGAAGCTTGTGAGAAAAACACCCTCTGTCTGACCTCACACGCATGAAGCGTCTCTTGCTGGGACATCCTCTCCACACTGCAGAATTCTGGCATGCAGAATTTTCGCAACGACGTCTGTCTGGTGGCACAGTTCCCCCCCGCGCCCTCTGGAACAAAACCCCCTGCACACCGAAAGTCCTCCCTGCCTCTTTGAAACCCCTGGATTCCCCTCTCCCCAGCGTAACCCGGGGGACCCCTCCCCAGACTAACCCCCACCCCAGCCCCCCTTGCCGCCGCAGGCAACTGACGACGACGACGATGACACCGCCGTCGCCTTCGCCGTCGCCGTCGCCGCCGCCGTCGAAATCGCCGTCGTCGACCCTCGTCGTCGTCGTCGGCGAATCGACCGGTCGGGCGGGAAACGCTGACGTTAGCCGCCGCCATCGCGATCGCCGTCGTCAGCGTCGATGAATCGGTCGGTCGGGCGAGGCACGTCGTCGTTCGCCGTCGCCAGGGCAGCCGCCGCCATCGTCTTCGTCGTCGTCGTCGGCTTCCTCGCCGTCGTCCTCGTTGTCACCGTCGCTAGCTAGCGCCAGGGAGGGCCCCCTCCGCCAGACTTTCACTTTCGACGGGGGGAGGGCGGAAGGGGGCGTCGTAACTCTCCTCTCCCAAGGACTTTTCAGAGGGGGGTAATACCCCCCCCTCCTTACCCCATGAAGACCTCCTCCCGTCGTAATCAGCAGACGCGCTCCCACATATCATGACCTGCCGATCAACGCTGACTCGAAGCAAAGACGGCCTATGTACTCGTAGGCGTAGGACAAAAAGCTGTTGGTGATCCGCACGAACATGTCTTGCTGCTCGGGCTTGTCCGGGTTTTCCTGGCCGTGGTTCTTCATACGAGGTCGAATCAAGACGGCTGCGTAGAAACAGATACACGTCGGTCGGAAAAAGTAGGTGAAAACATGAAGTATAGGAAGGCAGATTAAGTTGATTGGGTCCAGGCCCCCCCAGGGAACAACAAAACACAGCAACAGCGTGTCGATTCCTGAAGCAGGAAGGCGCGCTTGAAGTCGATTGGGATCTGGGAGTCCAAAAAATACCTGCTTTCAGCGACCGGCGCGTCTGGAAAAGCACATTGGATGCACGGCTGGCGCGGCGCGCACGCGACGCTCCTCCGCGCTCTTCTCGCAACGCTTGCGCCTCGCACGCGGGCGCAGCTGGCGGGCCCTGCGCCAAAAAAACAACGGGCGCCCTGCCCTTCCCTGCCCTCCCGCACGCTTCGCCCCTGCCTCGGTGCTCCCCTTTTCCGCCCCTCGGCATCCTGCTCCTCCCTTCCCTCCTCTTCCTCTTCCTGGGCCTCGTCCTGTCCACATCTTCCTCCTCCTCCTCCTCCTCCTCTTCCTCCTCCTGATCCACCTTCTGCATCATTCTTAGGGGGCCGCATGCGAAACCTACCCCTACCCCCCACGATTTCTGAGGGGGAGGGTGGGGTTCACTTCGCACGAAACCTACCCCTACCCCGAGCGAAGTGAACCCCACCCTCCCCCTCAGAAATCGTGGGCGGTAGGGGTAGGGTTCGCGGGTGGCCCCCTAACTCTCTTTATTCCTCTACAAGGCGTGCCTAGATTTGGACAATTGGCTCGATGCATCCCTCACTACAAACATTCTTCCCCAATGTCCGTCCCGTGACCCCGTCCTTCCTGCGGACTTCCTGTGGGCCTCGCGATTGTGCCGGTTCGCTTCCTGTGCACTCCGCGCTGCCAGCGTTGCTGTCAGAGCCCCAATTATCTGTTCGACGGCTTCCCAGACTAGCTGTTCCACTGTGCGCCCCATCTCAATTCTCCGACCAAGCCGAATCGCCAGGTCCTCGTTGATGGATGGGCTGGCAGGAAGACGCGACGCGTCAAGAATGCTGGAGATATCTCCAGCGACACTGCCATGGCTGAGAAGCCTGCCATCTCGAGTGCAATGCAAACCCGGGTCAATGCAAACCCAGGTCAGTCCGGCGTTGCAAAATCCTGCAGGACCCCGCAGGATCCTGCGCGCTAGCTGGGGTCAGTGCAACCCTGGCTTTGCAGAATCCTGCATGATCTGGCGCTCTGGCTGACCCCCACTTGCTTTGACACCCGTCTCAAGGCTCACGACCAGCGAAGATCGGGATGCATCCGGGTTCCCATTCGTTCAACTGCTGCAATTCCTCCGGATGCCGCCTCGGACAGAGCGGTCGGGTGACACTCCGTCTCCCCTCCCCTCTCCCCCATCCGCTGCCTCCTCCTCCTCCTCCTCCTCCTCCTCGCACCCTTCCTCCGGCTCCTTTCCCAACTCCTCCTCTCTCTCCCCCTCGTTCTTGTCGTCGTCGTTCTCCTCCTCCTCCTCCTCCTCCTCCTCATCCTGCTCATCTCTTTCCTTCTCCTCCTCTTCTTCATCCTCCCCCCTTCTCCTCCACCACATCCTCCACCCCATCAGCCTTGTTGTGTTCCTCATGCTCCACCTTTCCCCTCGACTGTGCTCCTCCTCCCCCTCATCTTTCCCCTCGACGTGACTTGCATTTGCACGTTTCGGCGGTGGACACACCTCCCTTTAGTAAACCTCCATTTAGTGAAAACGGCCTGGGACCGAAACCGACGGACCTGGACCCGCGAAAATGACGGCCGCGACGCCCTCTCGCGAACCGAAAACGGCCAATTCGCTAATCGACGTGTCAGGGTAGGAGGTCTGTCCACCCCCGAACTTTCGACGCTCGGCTGCAGACGAATCCTCGATGTAGTAGCGCAGCTGCATCAGCCAATCGAAGTCGTCGTCCTTGTCCGTGCCCGCTCTGGCCAGCTCCTGCGACGATGACTGGCCCAAACGAAGGGAGGACGCCCCAGCCTTAGGTCGGGCCTGTCCTCCTACAGGGGGATTTTGGACGAAAAATAAAAGATACTCAAAACATACACCCAAAAGATCAACAAATGCTCCAAACATAGTCCCCATATTATGTTTAAACTATTTCTGAATATTCCTCCTGTAGAGGGACAGGCCCGACTTAACCCCAGCCTCGCGCCTCCTCAACGGTGCACAAGTCAGGGAAACAGTGATCGGGTTGCGAGGAGGGGGTTGGGTGCCATGTATCTTCCCAACCCCTCCTCCCAACATGATACCAGTCTTTCCCAACAGTGTCACCACTGATGAAACAACGCAGCTTGGCGTCACTCGGCGGCGATCGAGGGGGGGAAGTGAAAAGGAGAAGGCCTTCTCAGAAAACTCGGGAGTCCCCCAGCCTTCTGAGAGGTTTTCTGAGCCTTCCCAGAAGACGCAGAACACGTCTCGGAAAGCGCGTGGGCTCCTGAGAAGTCCCGCCGCCTTCTGAGAGGGCCTTCTCCTTCTCATGTCCCCCCCACCGCTCACCGCCGAACGATACCTGCCTTTACCAACATTGCCACCACTAAAGAACCTAGGGGAACAAAAGTGGCATAAACATAAAAACTCGGAGGTCCGCGCGGATTTCTCGGATCGGCGCTGGGGCCCCCCGGCGGCGCCTCCGGCGCCGCGCCTGGCGCGCTCCGCGCGCCAGGGAGGGGGGTCCAGCGCGCTGATCCGAGAAATCCGCGCGGACCTCCGAGTTCTTATGTTTCTGCCACTCTTTCTTCCCCCTAGAGCCAAAGCTCGACGCCACCGTTAAGCCGGGCCTGTCCCCCTACAGGGGGATGTTCGACGAAAAAAGAAACACCCCGAAAATGATCCACAAATAGTCCAAACATAGTCTGGGGACGATGTCTTGAACATGTTTTGGCCTTTTTGGGGGTATTTTTGAGTTTTTTTATGTTTCGTCGAGAATCCCTCTGTAGGGGGACACGCCCGACTTGCCGCTACCGAAGACAGGCCAAAGCGAACGGCCCGCGCGGTGCCTCGTGTGCCGACCCCCGCGCGCGCGCGGCGAGGAGCCGCGCCCCCCGCGCGAGGCGCTGCCTGCGCCCGCCGGGTGCACGCCTCCGCTCGGTCGCCTTTCGGCGGCGCGCGAGGGGGGCAAGCGAGGAGGAGAAGGTCCTCTCAGAAGCAGGGGGCCACATGCGAACCCTACCCCCACCCCCCACGATTTCTGAGGGCGAGGGGGGGGGGGGTTCACCTAATTCAGAAAGCTCCCGAGCGAAGTGAACCCCCCCCCCCCTCAGAAATCGTGGGGGGCAGGGGTAGGGTTCGCATGTGGCCCCCTAGGAAGGCGGCGGGACTTCTCAGAAGCCCTCGCACCTTCCGAACAGTTCTTGTTTCTGCGTCTTCGGGGGAGGCCCTGAGCACCTTCTCCGAAGGCTGGGGGACTCCCCTGCCTTCCGAGGAGGCCCTCTCCTCTTCGCTGCCCCCCGGGCTCGCCGCCAAATCTGAGGGGCACGAGCTGCGCACGGGCCGACGCCAGAACGCACCGACGATCGAGGAGGGATCGGCTCGAGCGCCCGTCGCCGCGCAGAGCGCGTGCTGGGCCCCTGCCTCTCGCCATGCGAGGTCTGGCCCCCCTGTGGAGCAGCATGCTCAGATGTCCAGGCGTTGCGCTTCCAGGGCGCTCCTGGCTCTTGGCTCTCGGTGGCATGTCCACGAAGAAGGGAGGCCCGTGGCATCACCCCTTCCGGCATCCCGGCGGCCCCACATCAACATACCGGTATGCACGGCCAGCCTCACCTTTTACTCGCGCACGGCTGTGGGCCAAGGAGCCCGCCAGAAGCGCCGTGTGAGAGAATTCACGCTCACAAAATAAAACAAGGTTTCAAACATCTCCAGATAACTGAAGGGGCCCTTGGACACACAAAACAATTCACACAAATAACTGGATTCCCCATATTTTCCCATATTTTCTGGGTTTTTGTCTTCCCCACCACTTCCCATATTTTCTCATATTTTCCTGGGAGTCGACGATTAATTGTGTCTGTGTGTTTTTTCCCCTCCTGGATAACGTCGTCGTACGTCGTTGGACGTCTTGCCCGCCGGCACCCCCAAGGAAGGAGGAGAAAAATGAGAAGGGGGAGGGAGACGGGATCGAGCAGGGGGGCGGTGGAGGAGGATGGTGGTTTCCGAAGAGAAGGGGGAGGAGGAGGAGGAGGAGGAGGGGGAGGAGGAGGAGGGGGAGGAGGAGGAGGAGGAGGAGGAGGAGGAGGAGAAGGGCGAGGAGGATGAGGAGGCGGAGGAGGATGAGGAGGCGGAGGCGGAGGAGGAGGAGGAGGAGGAGGAGGAGGAGGAGCAACAGGAGCCACGGGCTGAGGAGGGGCGGGGCCGTCGTCTCGTCGGTGGCCCCCGCCGCTCGTGGCCGCGCGCAGCGCGCCATCGGCGCCGCAGCCGCGGCGGCGCAGAGCCGCCACGCCCCGAGAGGGCGAGCCCGCCTGGCACAGGCGCCAGCGGGAAAAGAGGGCCAACGCCAGGACCCTCTTCCGCGTGCTGGACGCTGCGCACATCCTCAGCAACCACCACAGCGCGCAGCAGCCCCAGCGCCACCAGCAGCACGTCATGAAGCAGAACTGGAATCAGCAGCGCGACGCCTCGAGGGAAAGGTGGTCAGGAGCAGGGACCACACACCTCGAGGCGTCGCGGCGCGGCCCTGGGAAAAGGTGGACAGGAGCAGGGTCCACAGCCCAGGCGCAGCGCCAGCGCAGCGCAGACTGGACTGGCGACTACGGAGCCATTGGTGGGCGGCCCTGGGAGTGGCAGCAGCATAGTCAGCAGCAGCAGCAGCAGCAGCCTCAGACCCACAAGCGCCACCACCAGCAGCAGCAGCAGCCACAGACCCACAAGCACCAGCAGCAAAGCGACAGCGACCAGCACTGGAAGCACAGTGCGCCCTGGAGGAGCGCCTCAGCCAGAAGGAGAAGCGGCAGGCGCAGAAGAAGGGACCAGCTCGACACGCCTGCCGCAGCCCACATCGGCAGCTACCAGTACAGCCCCCAGCAGAAGGCAGTCCTGGACAGCATCACGCCAGTCTCCTTCGCCGTCGCGATGGAGCACGAGAGCTGGTCCGCACCACCAGATGACGAAGAGATGAGGTTCGTGTGGTACAAGACCAAGTGCCACAGGCTGGGTCGTCTCTCCGAGAACATCGCAGGTGCTAGGCTGGCCGGCTTGTGCACAACCAGCCTCGAGCAGGAAGCGGCGATCACCGCCACGAACATCTCCTTCGTTCTGCCCCACAAAGAACGCATGAAGCAGCTCAGGGCCACGCTGGAAAAGCTGGAGGAGGAGCATGCCGAGATGGAGAAGCGGCTCAGCAAGATGCTGGACCAGGAGGCGACGGCCGCCAGAACCATCAGGGTCTACAAGACCCTGATGAGGGAAACCAGAGATCAAATGGCCAAGTCGGCGGGAGTAAAGGACGAATCGTCTGAGGAAGATGGGAGCCATGATCCCACCAGAGGACGCGCGCCACACCCGGCCGCGAGGAGAAGGCGCGACCCTTCGGCAGCTCCAGTGGCACCGGCCACGGCCCAGCCAGCCACAGCTCAGCCAGCCCCAGCCCAGCAGCCCCGACCAGTCCCAGCAGCATCAGACGAGATCAAAGATGCCATCAGGAGATTGACCGAGAGGCTTGATTCGCAGCAGAAAAAAGAACAGCAGCAAAGCGACCTACTAGCACAAGCGGAGTTCAAGCACAAAAGCGAGCTGAAGGCCTACGAGCAGACCATCGCGCAAAAGATGTACCACACGACCGAAGCGCAGTTGGCCAAGCAGGAGGAGTGGCACATATGGGAGGTCAACGCACTCAAGCGGCACCACAACGCCAAGCTGGAGGAGGAGGAAGCAAAAGCATACGAAGCACAAAGAGGCACCCAGAGGACACAGGAGGAAAGGGCCAAAGGGATGCTTGCAGACCTGCAAATGCATATTGAGTTGGAAAAGAAGACTTTGCGCGAGGAGATGCACAAGGAAGACCAGAGAAGAGCAGCCATCTACACGCAGCAGGTCCAGAAGGCCAGGCAGGAAGAGCAAGCTGTGAGAGAGATGGCAACCCAGGAGGCCCAGTGGCACAAGATGGCGCAGGAGCACAACGAGAAGGCGACGCAGGAGATGGTGGAGGCGGAATACCAGGAGAGATGCGCCCGTCACAGCGCTTATAAGGAGGAGGAGCTGCGGATCGCAGTGAACTATCAGCAGATGGCCCACGAGCATCAGGATGAAGCCAACAAGCGCGAAGCGATGCGGGTCGTCCTGAACCTGGAGCATGCAGCCATCCAGGCGAAGGCATACGAGATGCAGCACGAGCAGGAAAGGTATCTGGAGCGCGTCGGGGAGCACCAGGAGGCGGTGGACAAAGCCCATAGGATGGAGGAGGTGGCACTGCAGCGACAAGCAGCAGCCACAAGCGAACTCCAGGCACTACAGCAGCAGCAGGAGATGGAGAACCAAGCGGCGCATCAATACCACAGCACACTGCAGCACCAGCACCAGCAGGAGATGCAGGCCATGGCGCAGCACTACGCCCACAACCATCATATGAACGAAGCACAGAGGCAGCAGCAATTACAAGACCTCCAACGTGCACATGATTTGCAAACGGCAGGACTCCAGACTGCACTACGGGATGCCTGGGGAGCAGGAGGACAAGTGGACGAGGACCTGCTAATCGACATGACGGACGACCTCATGGGAGACACAGCCACGAGTGAGCGCGACCAAGGCATGGCGGACCAGGAGGGCGCGTACCAGAGGGAGCAACTTGAGGCAGACTTACTTCGGCTGCTACCTAGCCAGTACGAACTTCCACATCCAGAACTACCGCCGTACCTCGAGGAGCTGGCCGGGGTGGGATTTGGAGAGAGGTCCCATACATCGTCTACGCCAACGCCAGAGGAGCCTACCCTCTCGTCGAGCGA